CTACCATAAGTTGCATGCCAGTCGCACGGGTGGATACAGGACATGAAAACCATGACGTTATTGACTACATGAAAAGAACAAGGCTGGATTAGGCTACCTTGAATAGAAAACAACCTGACCCCTCATTCTTTCTCCAGCGAACACAACCATTACACTCAGAGCTAGTATCTTTTTGAAGGGTTTTGATACTCTTATCTGCTTATTGAAACCACTTACAATGACCAGCTAAACAACATTACGTCCCTCCGGACAAAATTCGACTTGAACACAACCCTTTTTTCTTTTTAAAAATTTTTGGTTAAGCACTAGTGGAGTTAAGGCTTCACATGGGTAGTCCTCAACATCGGTGGTGCTAGATACCCCAGGTGAATCCTTGGCACATTAGCCCCCTCTTTTTGGGATAGCAATAAGTCAGCCAGTAGGCCGGTCAATAGTCACGCTCTAGGGTGTGTCAAGGTGTAGAATAGAAAATTAACACAGTGTATATTTACATACTCCCTGTTTTTTCATAGTTTGTTTTTGTAAGCAAATACCTACACTAGACGGTCATATAACTATTTTATCCAGTTGGGTGAGACATAAATAGGTAGCTCTTTGTACTATTCGTTGATCTGTAAATCCTTAGATAGTACAGGTAGTTATTCATTCCGGTTGTCCCTAGGTCTTTTGCTTATTAAAATAAATCTTGCTTACCTCGACATAAAGATGAGCTAGCGTTTAAAAAAAAAAAAAAAATCACAAAATTACTTTTTTTTATTAATAGAAAAATATCAATTTACTTAATAAAAATTTATAAAAAATTATAGATTTGTTATGTATACTTTTTTTTCATCTATTTTTAAAATTATTAATTTTCTTGAAACTTTATTAAGTTAATAGTATTTTGATCATTAATAAAAATATTTTTTATATAATTCTGTCCATAGTTTATTTTTTTTTTTTTTCTAAACCTGTAATCAGACCAAAATTGTGTATTTATTAATCAATATAAAAACTGATAGATATACATAGGGCAATTGCATTATGGCTAAACTAAAAACTTGTATTGATACACTCTACAATGGCTTTCAATTCTCAAATAAGCTTCAGCCTCTAAGTATACCCTTGGAAACAATATTTCATTTTGAAATAAGTTTTGGGTGAAGTCTCTTCTAACTTACTTATTATTGCCAACAGGTTATTATTACTTATTATCCTTCAAGAAACTGATTTTGAGAAACTACAAAAAAAAAAAGGGAAAAGGAAAAGAAAAGGGAATATCTAAAAATGCACAATTGTGCTACATAAAAATAAAAAAAAAATAAAAAATAAAAGTGTTTCATATCCTCCAAAGGATCTCTGCTAAAAATCTCTTTTCATTAGGAATCAACCCTTCTGGGATGTTCTTCTTCTTTCTGACTATTTGAGGAACTTATCTATCTATGTTCTTGATTATTTTCTTGTGACCATTTGAGATACTTATCACTTACTCGGATCCAGTGTCTTGCTCAACACTTCCTTTCTTTTGATCTTGATTTTATATCCACCCGTGCAAAACTGAACAGCTAATGGTGGATTCCAGATTCATATGTGACTTTTCAGTTTTGTTGTGTAACTTTTGATATCTTTTAACAGTCATGTCTAGTTAAAGAAATTTACTGGTATATATCTTCCATTACCCAAAAAGTTAGATTCTTTAACAATTTTTTTGCCTTGTAATAGTGGGAGGATCTCAGATAATATGGGGATTCTCATCGATTATGATATCATTACCCAATGTCTAGGAAATGCATTCTCAATTTTAGAGAAGGGCAGTATTTTACATTCCTTTGCTTTTCAGTCTTACAGTCTAACCAGAATAAGGAAATAATCTCTTTTGTGTACTTTGTCTAATCAGGATGATAAGAAGTTGAAGGCCTCGGCTTGAACAAATAATTACCTTTTTACCATCTAGAGAATTTAGTGTTTATTCTAATGGCCTTATGATTTCTTTGTTTCAATTAAACTTCATTTGAAGGAATGGAGGAGTTCATATCCTTAATTTCTCTTTCAATCACCAATGACATCATCGGAACATGTAAGATGATCAATAGAAGCTTGTTTATATTCAGCTACTAATATATTTCATGTCAACCAATTAGATGCCAGGTGATGTTGTGCTATCAAAAATTCAGGGTTAAATTGAGATAGGCAAAATCCTTCAAGAAAATCATGAAAAATAATAAATACTTTAAGAGAGAATTTTGCCTATAGTTTATTAAAACAATATAATTTTTTTTTTTTTTTTTTTTATTATAACCCTCTGTCAGGCTAGTTATGTATGCTTTATTAAACAATTGTAAGCTGTATATTATACATGTGATGTTAAAGCTAATTTTCTAACTAACTCACTCGTCAAAATCTTATATTTATCTAAGACTCTAAGTGCAACTTCGGGAGTGATTTATCACTTTATTAAAACAATATAGTATATTAGTATAATATAATATTTAATTATATAATTACAAAGTTAGTTTACAAAGATGAGTGAGCTAGTTAGTATTTTTTAGCTTTAATGATTCATTTAATATGTTTAATAAAGCACACATAACTAACCTGACAGAGGGCAAAAAAAAAAAATTATATATATATATAAATTCATTTCAAAGATAAAAAAATCTTTAGATACTTTATAGTTGATTTTTTTTTCTTTAAGGACTTTCTTGTCACTAATAACAAAGATGTTATTTGACTTTTTCTTGATTATCAGAAATCAAATTTTTGATTAAAGAGATTTGTAAATAAAAAAAGAAGTATAGTAATGATTTTTGATTCTTGAAAATATTTTTTAGTAAGACTTTATTAATCAGAAAGTTAAAAACTTTTGACTAACATCTTTTTTATGTATTGTTAGAGAATCAGTGGGAAGAGTAAAAAAAATTAATTTATAAATTCATATATAAAACTTGTCTTGCCATAATAAAACTTTCATTATTATATTCTTAAAAAGAAAAAAAATACATTTTCTACAATAGCCTAATTTTTAAGTATTCCATATTAGATCGAAAATAGATTCTGTTATGTATAGTTTATTGATTTCAAATCTAGAAAAAGGTATATATTTAATCGTTACAATTTCAACGAAACTTTGAGAAACGAAAAAAAATTTTTTTTCAAAACTTTTATTGGGGTGCAAAAATTTCTTGAAATTGGACCTTTTTTTTTTTCAGTCCCTATGATTATCGTTGCTTTATCAATCGCCGATTTTAAAAAACCGAAAGAACTAGGGTCGAAAAGCTGACAATGGACTTTCACGCCGTCTATAAACTTTTTAGTACCACTTATCATCCGGACCCGAATATCCAGAAACAAGCTGAAGTGCAATTAAAACAGGTTCGCATGAGTTAAGAAATGCGTGTTTTTTGACCAACACGCAAGTTGCCGGGATCTTTGATTTTTTATTCTTTTCTTTGAACTTATCAAGGTTGAGGCGACTCCAGGTTTTATTGCCGTGCTTCTTCAAATACTTACCTCTCAGGGAACCGAGCTCACAACAATACAAGCTAGTATGTATGCAGACTTATTGTGCAGTTTTATGATTAAGAAATTAAATCAAGTTTTACAAATGTAAAAAAGTTTCGATATATTTGAAGAACCGGATTCGAACTTCTTGGGAATACGATGATCCCAATTCGCCGACTGTCGTGCCTATTGACCCTCAAGATCGCGAGGAATTTAAAAGAAACATCTTGCACGTATTAATAACAGTACCTAATGCAGTAAGGTAAGAAAATGTGGATTGACGAAATGTTGCATATGTTTTAAGAAAATACTAATTTGTTTCCTTTGTGAAACAATATAGGGTTCAGCTCATCGATTCATTGGGTAGAGTTCTTTCCAACGATTATCCCGGAAAATGGCCGGATTTTATGAATCAGGTGCATACTCTTTTGTCATCCAATAATTTGAGTAACGTGTATGTTGGACTATTGGCTTTACGGCAGCTCGTTAAAGTATACCAGTGAGTGTCGAAAAAAAGAGCACAGATCTTGATTAGCTATTCAAATTGTTTCGTTGATTAAATTGGTTGCATCTGATAGATGGAAGGCTAGTGAAAGTAATGTGCCCCTCTTGGAAATAGTTCACCAAACGTTCCCAGTTATATTACAAATAGCACAGCGTCTGCTTAATGAAGTTAGCTTGGAGGCTGCTGAAATGTTACGAATTATAGTCAAGATTTACTATTCTGCAACTCAAGTAAGGATGAATTTCAACTCGTCTCACGTCACGTACTTTTGTGTTGCTGGTTAATAAATCATTTACAATTGATTTTCAGTATGAACTCCATGAACCGCTGCAAGAAAATTCTTCCATTGTACCTTGGATGACTCTGATGTTACAATTATTTGAAAAGCGCATTCCCGATGAGATAATACCTTCAGATAAAGATGAACGACAGAGGTTCATCTGGTATAGGACTCAGAGATGGGCGTGCAGAAATTTAAATAGGATTTTTTCCAGATACGGAAACCCCGCTCAGCTTGCCGCTTCTTCTACAAAATATACCGCATTTGCAGAGAATTTTATACATCATTTTGGCCCACAGATTCTGCGGGAATATCTCCGACAGATTGAACTATGGGTTAAACATGAAATATGGTTAAGCGATAAAATCCTTTATCTTTGCTCGGACTTCTTTAAAGACGCGTGAGTTTCAAATTGTGATTAATCAAGTGCAGCCAGATCAGCCAAATCAACGAAATTAACTCGATCTCAAAAAAAATAATAACACAGGATAACTCACAAAGTTACTTGGCAAATCCTTAAACCGTATAGCGAGATGCTGGTTGCTCAGTTTATATTTCCGCAATTATGTTTTTCAGATGAAGATGAAGAATTGTGGGTTGATGATCCTGTTGAATATATACACAAGAGGATGGATCTCTTGGAGGATTTTACGTTACCGTCTGTGGCAGCCGTTACTTTCCTGATGGACTTGGCGCGACACAGGAAAAAGTTCACGTTTATGGGTATTATGGGATTCGTTAACAGCGTGCTCACAACCTATCATTCGGCTCCCCCCGAAGAGAAAAATCCACGGCAGAAAGATGGGGCTCTTAAGATGATTGGCTGCCTGTCCGATATGGTCTTACGTAAGAAGTTTGGGGTAGCACACCTGATGGAAGGTTTTTTCACGACACACGTTTTTCCAGAGTTTCAAAGTCAATACCCTTATTTGAGAGCAAGAGTAAGCAAAAAAATTTCAACTTCGCGATTCCTTTTAATCGTAATCTTTTAAACTTATTGAGTTTTAGTGTATCTATGACAATCGATAGGCGTGCGATATGTTGGTAAAATTTGAAGAACTAGATTTTGAACACGAGTCTAGCCTCGCCACAGCATATCAAGGTGTCACAACTTGTATGCGCGATTCTGAGCTTCCGGTGAAAATTCAAGCGTGCTTGTCTTTACGATGTTTGATACGTCACGAATCAGGTTGCGTCTCTATATCTCATATGCCAATCATCGAATGTTGGTTTTTCTGAATTTCTTGTTCGATCTAGTGCGCGAAGCGATAATTCCAAATCTACCTACGATCATGCAAGGTAATTTTTTTCTCTTTCTCTGTTTCACGTGCACATCATGACAATTTTTACAAGGAAATTACTTTCCTGATGATTATAGAGCTTCTTGACCTTACGAATCAAATTGACAGTGACACTCTTTCCACGGTGATGGAAGATTTTGTTGAAGTTTTTGCCGAAGAGTTAAGTCCTTTTGCTATTCAATTGTGCGAACAACTGGTACGTCTCATAGCAACATTTTTGTTTGGATGAAAAAGATATATAAAAAAAAGATTGACATGCGAATAATGAATGTAGAGAGATACTTTTCTTCGGATAATGCAAGACTTCCAAGATGCTCCGGCGTCTTCGGGAAAAGAAGAAACACATGATTCTTTCGGGGACATGGAGATCAACGAAAAAACCATGGCCGCCACAGGCGTGCTCAAGACCATTACCACTTTGATCCTAAATCTAGAGAGTACGCCTGAAGTTTCGGCTCAACTGGAGAATGCGCTCTTACCTATCATTACTTTTACGCTAAAGAACACAATTGCCGGTGAGAAGGCTAACCTTTACGGATCAATGATTATTGAATAGATCATCACCTTGACCCGAGACATTTTCATTCCGTCATTTCATCTAGAGTTATATGATGACGTGTTCGATATTATTGATTGTTGCACCTTCTCTACTAAACAAATTTCTACCACGATGTGGGGGATCTTCGAATTGATTTACAATACCTTCAAGGGAGATGGCACCGAATCTGGAATTGATTATATTGAAGGTAGCTGAAACATGTCCATCGAAAGTCGATTTATCTCTGCCTTTTCAATTAATCTGAACTTTGTTTATTCAACACGCTTTAGAGATGCTTCCTTCCTTGGATAATTATATGTCTTACGGCACCGATGTGTTTTTGGGAAATCCCCATTACCATTCTATGATATATGATATTATTGATACTGTGAGACCTTTGTTTGCTTATTCCGAAAACTAGAATCGTCATGATTCCATTAATCGAAGTTAATTTACCACAATAGGTTATGAAAAGTGATCGCCTTGGTGAAAATGAACGTATTTGTGCCTGCAAGCTAATCGAATCAATGTTGCTGAATTGTCGTGGATATGTTGATCAGGTATTTTTCCGGTCATCGACTCGTATAAACCTCGAAGATTCACTAACCTCCCTCTTTTTATTCAGTACGTCAAGCCATTCCTTGACTTTGCACTTCACTATTTGTCCGATGTCAAAAAAATTACCACTTTACCTTACAAGATTTATTGTCTCGAGGCCGTAAGAGCATTTGAAATGTAATAATTTTGCACAATCGAAATACCTTCATCTTAAGATTTTCTTATCGAAAAAACTTCAGGTGATAAATTGTCTTTATTACAATCCCCGTATCACCATTCAACACCTTGAAGAGCGCGGAATGACCCAAATATTCTTTGAACTGTGGTTTGGAAACATCAGCAAGTTTTCGCGAGTTCACGACAAAAAACTTGTCATTATCGCCCTTTGTACCTTGATCGAATTACCGATAGAACAATTACCGCACGCTTTGCAAGCCGGTTGGCCGCAAGTGCTAGATGGCATTCTAACTGTCTTTAAATCATTACCAAAGGCTGAAGAGAGTAAGTTAAGTTTTTTTTTACTCTTTCGTCCATCTTTTCTTTCGGAGACATTTTTACATGATCATTCGGTGACACTAGACCGGGAACGCATGGATAAATTTGGTTCGGAGGACGACGACTATGCCGATGAGTTCGATGCCTCGGAATTCAATGATGCTGATGACGAGGACCGAGGTAAGGAAAGATCAATTTCAATTATACCAAGGACGGTAGCGTATACCCTTCACTCATCATAAACTCACTTCGAAAAACGTAAGATGATGAAAATATACAGGACGAAGATACAAAATATTTGGAGTTTTTAGCGCAGGAGGTAAAAAGACAAGCACGTTCGTTGAATGTCGAGAGGGAGAAAATGTTCCAACGATTTTACTTGATTTAATTTCAGGCTGCCAAGAAGAATCCAGATTGTGAAGACGAAGATGATGATGCACTGGAGGAAGATATCATATACGAATCACCCTTGGATAAATTGGATGTTTACACGAAATTTCACGAAACTTTTATTGGTATGATTGTTTTTTGAAATATACAGTTCATGACACATGTATGATTTCTCTTATATGACCTATCCTGATTTTTTGCTCATCTAGGTGTTCAACAACATTATCCAACGTCGTATTCTCTCCTCACGAAAAACCTCGATCAAGAAAAACAAAACTACATTATTTCCTTATTTGAGAAGGCAGGACAACAAAAGATTAACGAAAATGGTTCCGAATAATACATTAATTTATATCTATTTCAGTGAATTAGGTTGGGCACTTGGCATAAAGACGCTTATTTATACCTCGACAAAAATTCCTCCTTAAATTCTCCCTCGTTCGATAGAACGATAAAGTTGGGAATTCCATTCTTAACGACGTACTTTTGATGTGAAAGTACTTCTTTCAGAATACAATTCTTACCAATTTTTAGTAATTTCGGTTTAACCTCATTTCCTGTTGTCCAAATGTATTCGTAATAAATTTGAACTTTGTCGGGCGTATACTTGTGCAAAGTGTCCCAAGGTGCAGGATTTTCAAACATCACATCAAGATGATCCTGAAACGTGTTTCCTTCGTTGAATTCAGCGATGAAGTCCGTTTCCTGGTATTCGGGATATAAAAATACCACAGGCCAAATCAGTTGACCTTCAGGGTTCAGATGCACCGAATGCGGTGATGTGTGTGCGACATTGGTCGTTTCCATATTAATGTTACGTGTCTAATAATATAAACGAGTGACGCATGAGGAATTCTGGGATTTTTAAGAATAAAATTACAATCTTGTGTACACCGGAACTTTCTCAAATAGACGACTCTCAACAGAATACGGGGTGTACCTTTAAAGCCCTCTCCAAAGCATCCCTCGTTTCTTTCTCTTTCCGTTCTCTCTCTTTCTTTCTTATATTCTTTTGATCCAACGTTTCTTTCTTTTTAACACAAGTTTCCTTAAGCTGTTGTAAAGCTATATTTCCTGGTTCGGCCTAACAGAATTGGTTCGATTTTCATAAATGTCGAACGAGACATATCGAGTAGCATAAGAAATCACGTACTTTTAGACCGTGATCACAACAATCGATTGCCTCCTTCATTTTCTCAAGTTCACATAAAGCTTTTGCGGATCGATAGAACGCTTTAACATTCATGGGATTCGATCTAATAACTTTGGCGCAATCGGTGAGTACTTTACGAAAATTTCCTGTGGTGTTAGATTTTTTGAAATTTAAAATTAGTAACAACAAATCTTGGGGGGATTAAGGAAGTCGATTAAATTAAACCTACCCAACTCCAAGTTCACTGCTGCTCGATTCGCGAGGCAAGCCTCGATAATTTTATTATCTTTGCAATTTGTTTCCAATGCTTTGGTGTAATAGGTAATCGCATCTTGATATCTTGTTTTACCCTCTTTAAAACATTCGTTTCCCTGCTTCTTGAAATTCTCGGCTATTTCTGTAAAAGAAAAGATCTTGCTTATCATCATGCGATGTGCATAATAACGTAAACGTGATCAGTGCATTTTAAACCTTCGGGTGAACCATCATATAGCAAAGACTGCAAAGCCGCGAGGGATTCACTCTCCTCCTCCGGTAACTCTGTCATAAACAGGGGAACCTTGTCAATTTCTTTGAGGAGAGTATCTTCGAACTTTCGCCTCTCGGGACCCATAAACTTGGACATTTCTTTCGGTAAGTCGACGTGTATTACGTGTATCCATGTGAAGTTGAATTGCACCGCGTATGCATGATCTTCAGAGATCATCTAATTTGATCCTTCATATAAATCTGAATATCATTACACGTTTTGGGTGTATGTTGATTTTTTCGAAAGCTGGTATGTGATTTCTTATTACTTGAATTGTCTTGGGTTAATAGTGGTAAGACACGTTTGCTACACTCTGTGATCGTCCCTTTAAAATTCATGGACGACTATAATTTTTATGCAAACAATAATAAATACCTGTCTACTCATCATGATCTCGGACCATTTCCACGAGATCTTTGGTCTATCCGAAAGGAAACATTTATTTAGAGATCGTCGCAAATATGAATGTTTGAATTCTTATATATATATATATAATTTATCATTATTATTATTATTATTATTATTATTATTTGGGTCTGAAATTTAGGTTATCGGTTTCAAACTGTTTGCCGAATTAATAATCTACGCTTCGATCTATTCGCTCGTGCACACAAATCTCATTTCTGAACAAAACAAGATACACACGTACGATGGCAATTTATAAAATAGCAGACTAATTAGGTGCAGATAATTATGAATAATAAAATCGATATGATTGTATTAGAGGGATAACTATTTTACGTGGAATTTGAAAATGAGTGCTTTCAACTCTATTAATATTTCGACGACCACGGATTCCTCGAGAAATGATTCAAAGATCAACGAAGAAGTCAAAGTTATGGTTCCACCATTGAACTTTGCCATGGTGGCGCCGGGCGTCTACCGTTCGGGACATCCGAATCGTCAGAACTTTCCCTTTCTCAGAAAGTTGGAATTAAAAAGTTTAATGTCGGTTTTTTTTTTTTTGTAACTCACTCGTGTGTGCGCGTCACTATTCATCATTCTATAATTCTATGAAAATTGTGATAGATATCTTTCATCTGATGACATTCGCGAAGAATTGGATCAATTCGTGAAAGAACAAAAAATTCAAATTTTTCATTATCGGATTGATGGGAACAAAGTAGTCTTCTAATTCGTGCAATTTCATTCGAACTCGAAATTAAGCATCAGTGCGTTCACCTCATAAATTTTCTTCGACTTTCAAGGAACCGTTCGCGGAGATCGAAGAAAAGGAAATTAGCAGTGCTCTGGTAAAAGTGCTGGGTAAATATAATCAAAACGAATAAACCATTCATTTTTTTTTCGATATTGCTCATCACGTTTCACATAACTTTTAAGATGTGAGAAATCATCCAGGTACGATTCATGTGCTAACAAATCGCCCGTGAATCTTATGATCCTAATCCTAAGAGAACCGTCTTATTTACAACTCATCATAGTCTTGATACATTGTAATAAGGGAAAGGTGAGCTCTTTGTCTTAGGACTGTTCTGTTTTTTGTTTATTTTGTTTATTCATTTTTTTTTTAAAAAAACCTTAATTTTATCAAATGATAGCATAGAATTGGATGTTTGGTGGGGTGTCTTCGTAAGTTACAAAAATGGTCCATGACCTCAATTTTTGATGAATACCGACGATTCGCCGGTACCAAAGTCCTAGCTGATCAAGAGGTTGGTGTTCCGAAATTATTATTCTATTGATAAGATGAGTGATATGATCTAATGACAAAATTTTGTATGTCACGTTATTTTTAGTTCATTGAAATATTCTCTGAACACGTGCCCTATGATTCAGAATTTAAGCCTGCTTGGTTGTAATTATATTTTATCATTAAATAAATTAACATCTATGTTTGTTAAATAATACAAGATGAAAAGAAAGTACCATTGTTCTATTGGATATGATAAAATGGTTACTAATAATACCATGGTTTTATATTTGAAACCATTTTGAAGTGCACGAATACCAATTTGAATCTTAATTTTGAAAATTGTAAGTCGAAGAAAAAGCTTCGGTTAATAATTGAGAAGAAGAAATGCGTGTAAAATGGAGATAAGAAAACATACCAAAATTATCACTTGGATTACAATGACATCTGCCAGTTTCATGATATTCCTTTTCTTCCGGACAATGTGAATAAGGTGCATGCCTATACGCTATATCGTTAAAGAAGTGAACTCTCGACTTTGGTAAGAATAATGATACTGCTATTGAATGCACCGGTGCATCACCCCATCTGTATTTAAATGAGAAAGCAAGTTATTTTTAAAGCAAATGAACAGTAACAGTTAAACACGAACAAACATGTGCTCAATATACCTTTCATAGAAAAATCCACCCGTCTTGTCGAGGTAATTGAAGAATTCTCGGTAAGGCAAACTTCTCCAGAAGTTTAGGTCGGCGATCTCAAAATTACTCCAAAAGTGACACCTGCGAGTTGCGGTTAAAACACGAGGCAATCAATCAACCAATTGTTTAACGTATAACATGGAGGGATGTGGTCGATTGCTTACAGATTATAAGTTTCCCCATTATCGTTAGATATAAAATTCATGATGTTGTCCTTGGCAACGTATTGCGGATACTCTTTCGTAAATTCTTTCACAGTTTTCCAAAGAGTGGGAATGGTAGCTTCAAATTCCAATATAGTTATGGTAAATCCATAGATCAACTTGTTCTTTTTCATGAACAAGAATGGGTCATAATCAACATCGCACATAAATTCTACGGAAGGTTCCAGCCTCCAGTAATAATCGAAAGGTAACAGAAGCGGATGTAGGAAAAAGAACCCCGAATTAAACCTACACATGTGTCTGTAAGATTCGGATCCACCATATATAACATTATTTGATTCCATTTCTTTTCTCGCTTTGGCTGCTTTCTCCTGATCAATCCAATCTGGATAACTCCACATTTGCTTGGGTATTAAACCTGGAAATAAAATATCATTGATTTAATGATGAACAATTGACACTCGATTCGGTGAAAATTCTTTCATTAATTAATACCATATTGTGTTTGTGAGTTGGTTATCGACGATGTTAACCTTTTAAATTCTTCCGTAAATTCTTCGTCATTCAAGAAGACGTATGGATAATTAAATTTTTTATTCCACCTATCTTCAAATTGTCTCATGGAACTCCTAATTTGATGAATCTCGTTATTCCTAACTAACACTACAATTACCGCATTTGCTCTCGTAACGTTTTGGTATAAGGATTTATCTTTGGTTGGATCTATCCATTCTTTTGACAAAAAGTTTTCACGAGGTGAACCATCAAAAAAGACCTGTGGCGAAGATTGCCGCAAATAAAATAAGGTTATGAATGCTGTGAGCAAAACCAGTATCAAACAACGGGATAGAGGCGAACGTAGGAGGTATTTCCTCGTTATGTCCATAATTTTTGGAGCGGCAAGAAATGTGAGAAAAGACTTGAAACGGATGTATTTAATTTATATTGATCGACGAAGTGTAAATTACATACCGATTGGTGGTCTATCACGATCGACCAGCTGATTTCATGCAACTATAAACCTGATTGCAACGTATAGTCTCGACAAAAAAAGCAACACATAAATCATATCAAATTGCCATAGAGAGTATTATTGGTTTTTTAGTTAGGTCGGTTTATTGATCTTATGAGAGCAATAACAGGTATATTTTTAGAAACGAATTATTTAATTTAATGTCGCAATTATGTGCATACTTATACAGTGTGAAACAATTATTCATCTATTTTTATTCTATATAATAACGAAAGCTTTAACGAAACAAATATCTTGTACATTCTATTGGAATTATATGATAAAAACAATCATACTTTTATTCTTCCTTTTTAACACTTTTGTAACAAAATTTTAGCCTATAAAACAAAAGTAAATAATACAAATTCTTATCATTTTTTATTAAAGTAAATAATTTGAAAATAATAAATAATAATAATTTTAAATTAATTTTATGTAATAAAAGGAATATAGTAGATATTAAGTAAAGAATTTGTTAAATTTAAATTTATAATCAAAAAAAAATATTTTTTTTTTATTTGTTATTATAATTAAAAATTAAAATTAATTGAATTTTTTTTTTTTTTATAATATTTGCAATCAGGTTAGATTGTTAGTTTATTAATCAAATAAATATTTTTATTTAAGCAACATGACACATTTTATATCTAAATTTTTCATATATATATATATATTCTTTTCACTGATTTTCTGACAATGCATAAAAAAAATATTCACAAGAAATTTTTTTATTTTTCTACTAATAAAATCTTAATACTTTTCTTAAAACAATTAAAAGTATTAATCAAAAGTCATCTTTATCTCTTTCTAATTATTTATATTTTTCTTTTACCAAAAACTTGATTGTTGGTGATTATAAAAATTAAAAAATATCTTTTTTATCAAAGGCAAAAAAATTTTGAAAAAAAAGAAATTAATATACTATTATTTTACACTATAAAAAAATATTATAGAATTTTTACTAGGGATAAAAAACCTACAGTGCATTAAGAAAGTCTTTGGATGACTTCACATGACAATAACTTCGCAATGAATAAATCAAATCACATATATAATAACTTATTAAAAAGCTAAAAAGTTTAAAATTTATTGTGATAACTTTAATATGAAATATTATCACCATTCTTATCTATTACAAGCCTACAATTAAAGATGGGTCCCTAAAGGGGGAGACAGGGACATAAGTTAAATGTCCTTCACTAGGAAAAATTAAATTTTTTAAATTAATAACTATAAAAAAACTATCCACAATTGTTTTCCATTATCTAAATCATTGATTTATAGCATTTCCTGACTTTTGTCCCTATTAAAATGAAAAGCTATGAATTTTGTCCCTCAAAAAAGAATATAAGTGATCTGCGAAATTTTATATGCTAAATACTTTAGGGACCCATTATTACTTTCATATCTTGTCCTACTGAATACTCTTTTTACACTACCTATTACAGTATGTCTACAAAATATTTACGTGGAGTCTTAGATATTGTCTCGTCCCATTTGAGTACCTTTTTTATATGCCCTATTACAGCCTATCCATGGAATGACCACATGGAGTTTTGGATGGATTATTCAATTTTGGTAGAGATCTTTTTCTTTTTTAATGTGTCTAGATGCCATTAGTCTCTGAATTTTTATGGCAAGCAGATCTTCAGCCTATCTGCAGGAGTTTATTGGAACCTGTCTTTATGACGAGATGGCTTCAGCACTAAAACTGGTTGAAGCATCTTGTGATCTTTGGTTATTTCATAATCAGACGGGATTTTGATCACAGGTGGCAGTGATCATCATCATGAGATAGATGAGATCTTTCTGTATAACCTAGGCTTAGGTGATACTGCCTTGTAGTGATATTGAACTCAGAAACAGCATTTGATGACCTGGAAGCGCTACCACTGCACTAATGACCCATAGGTCTAATTTTTTAATGAATAGTCAATAAATTTTTAATAAATAGTTTTAATAAATAGTTGTTGAATTTTTAATAAATAGTTAACAAATTTTTGACAAATTTTTAATGAATTATTAATATTGAATTTTTATAGAATTGTTAATAAATAATTTTTTGCTAAATGTTGCATAAATAATAGTATACCAAATAATTTTTTTGATTAGTTATTTTTGGCATTCTTGAAAAGAGATATTATTATTAATACATATATAGTACTATAATTTAACTGTGTTATGGATAATAGCTTTTTTTTAGAAATAATGTTTTTATTTGTTTATAGTATAGCAGTTCTTTTTATCATTTGATTTGATATTTCTTTTTTTTTTTTTTTTTTTTTTTTTTTTTTTTTTTTT